CTGACGCAGTTTCAACATCGATAAGACAGATTTATTTTAGTGAATTAGGATTATTTTTTCAATAAATTGATATGCAGATCTTAAAAACATTAGATTCATCATTCTGTGTAGTAAAAAATTTATCTAAACTAAGTGAATTATATATTTCTATATCTTATATGAGAATCAGAGTTTGATCCTTCGTAAATGTTAAAGAAATTAGTGGATTGTTGTACTTGTCATCATTTATTGGATTATAATTACCTACAGATACTCAGAAAAGATATGAATTCTCTGATAGTATATATAAATAATTACTTAACGTTACTCAACTCAAAAGAGGTAATCTTTTTTCACAGGCTACTTTATGATAATAATACTGATAGTTTAGATCATTTGAAATTGTACACATTCTAACAGCATAGACTGCTTTTAATGTATTATATTGATCATAGTAGTTCCATATTTTTATACAGATATATAGTTTCTTTTCTGCATGATATCCTTGAAGTGAATAAGCGTTAATAGTCTCAATTCTAAACTTTGATATGCTATTAAGAATATTAGATAATATTCTTACTAATTTGGTCTTAAATATAGATAACAATATTTCTTCAGAAACTTTGATATCAAAGAAAGATCAGATACCTATAATATTTACAACTACTTTTTACCCATTAATCAAGCAACTACTAATGTGTAAAATATAGGTAGAAATCCTATTTATATATTTAGTATCATCATTAACTTCAGTAGGCATAAAATGTATGGTTGCTTGCCAGATAGGCTTTGTTGAAATATAGCAGTCATCCTATTATCATATTTTGCTATAATCTCATTATGTGATGGAATACTAGCTAAAAATTTAGCATTATCATAGCGAGCGATTCCAGTATGATTAGTTTAGTTAAAAATAGTTAAGATATGCATGTCGTTAATTTGAAAAGGTTTATTTTACTTTATAAAATTCAGAAATGTTTAATTATTTTTTTGATGAATGCAAAAAAGAAGCAATATTGAACTTAGTTAGCAAATCATAAAAGAAATACAACTTAGTATATCTTAAAAAGTGTAGCCTTCTGCGTAATCTATTATATAAAAATTGGTAGAAGCTTACACTTTCTAGACAAATACTCAGATATGGTATAAATAAGCCAGCTATAATAATACGTAATGCAATTAAAAGTGAAGATATCTGCAGAATTATTATATAAAAATATGGCAGATACCTTCACTTTTCTAGATATGTACTCAGGTATGATCAGTGATGTACATTTTTGATGTTTTAAAGATTTGTTGTCCTAACTATATGTTCCAACCTGTTACCTAAAGGTCCTATCTGTCCTATCTATGTCCTATCAGCATCTTATCAGTATCCTATCAATGTTTCATGACAACACTGGATATGGTGTAGCCTCTGCGTAAGACTTATCCTTCTTAGATATATATCTGAATATAATATGAAGGCTTTTTCAGAAATATTGGTACTTGGCTACTCTATCATTAGTATGAATTCAGAAAAGTGAAACTGAATATATATCTAGAAGATAAGTCTTCCTCAGCCTCACTTTTAGTATCAAATAGAAGGTCAGAAGTAGAATTAAACTTAGCCAGTAATATTGTGTAAATAAAAGTATTACCACTTCTTGTGATTTTTATTTTATATATGTATTATCACTATTATGTTCTCAATTGATTACAAAATGGGATAATGTATATATGAAATAAAAGTTATAAGAAGGTAATAGAAAAGTATCTAAAACTAAAGACGCAATAAAATTAACAAAAATTTTGACTAATATTATTTTATGATTTTGGTCAAAACTTTGGACATAATAATTCTACATCTAAGCTGGTAAATTAATAGAAACCTCTCTGGTATCTTTGCAATTCTTCACTAGTTCTATGACTAGAGTTCTGAAAATGACTCGTATAAACTCGCATATTTGACTCGCATGATTGTGCATAATTGTAAATTTTAGTTACACATAATAAATAAGTACTTTAAATTAAAGGTATGTAGGATAATTTTGACTCGAAACTCGATTCGACTTGAGTCATTAGGAACACTATCTATGACAACTTTAGGATATTACCAAGTCATTACCATAGTGCCAGCTTAGATCCTCTAAATCACATGTCTTAAAGATCAGCCAAAATTATGGTATAGTGCCAGCTGAAATTAATCACAAATTTACTATACTACCTAACACCATTTTTTTTATCACATTTTAGTATGTAGAAAGGTAACCAAATAGGCGTAAAGGATAAGCATTTTAATATAGAATCTAGCATTTAACTAGGTGCAGGAGGTTAGCATTTTCAACATAAAACCAGATATCTAAACAATTACAAAGGACCAACAACTCTATTAAAGAATTTAGCATATAAATAACTCAGAAATAAGAAGAAAAGTGTAGTATTTAGATTATATAGTGATAGTTAAGTTAAATGGTGGATGGTATTAGATTTATGGTGGTAAAAAAAAATACAGATAGCAAGAAAGATTTAAAAGGATAGTTAGAGTATAAAAAAGATACCTGATACATGAAAATAAATAGATTATATGGTGATAATTAGATTATATTATTTAGATTATATAGTGATAATTAGATTATATTATTTAGATCATATGGTGGTACTCAGATTATATAGTAGTATTTAGATCATATGGTGGTATTTAGATTATATAGTAGTATTTAGATCATATAGTAATACCTAGATTATATAGTGATAATATACAGTAATCTAAGGCAAGTGGAATACCACTATGTAATATAATTATATTACATGGTGGTATTCCACTTATGTAACTTGCAGATAATCTATTTTGCTAATATGATAATCTTTTTATATAAAACACTATTTTAAAAACTAATGTTAGTCTTGTATAGCAATATTAATTTTTAATATAATAAATTGATAAATTTTATTGTTATGAAGTGATTATGTATCTGTATTTTATTGGTTAATTTTATATACTAAACAGTTTAGTATAAAACATAATTGTTATATAGCGAATACACTTAATACTAAACTAAATCTTATAGAATGATAGTTTTATTATATCTAGAATTAACTATTATGCTAAATTTAATTTATATTGTAATTTTCTATGAGGTATTATTTTATTAAATATTGAACAAAGGTTTTGTTGTTTTTTCTTTCTAAAAAAATTATTTAATTAAATTAATAATAATTACAAATAAATTTATATTTACCATATTTTATTTCATCATTTCAAATATATTATAAATTGTATTTAAATGATATTTTAAATTGAAGTAGAACCTGTAAACTTATAGAAAATATCATATAATTCATCTTTTTCATGTTTTATTACAGATATTATATAATATACCTTTTTATCATCCATTTTTTTGAAATATTTCCATACATAACTTTTTTCACTTTTTAACTTCTTAATATGACAAGTAGGTATTGAAATTGAAGACCTTTTAGAAATTGAAAAAGGGGAGCAGATGATTGTTGGATTGAAGATCCAGATTGAGAGCCTTCAATATCTCTATACTCTAAAAACTCGTCGCTAAAAAATATATATATTTCTTAATTAATTTATTTATAAATTATTAAATTTATTTAAAAAGAATATATATAAATATAATTTTTACCTCAAAATAATAATAATAATAATGATAAAATTAAAAGGTTAAAAAAGTGAAAAGGTAGTATGATAAGTATTTTATTTAAAAACGATTAAAATTGTAAATATAATGCGTTAAAAAATGTTTAAAATTTAAAATTTAAAAATTAAAAAAGAAAAAAATTCTAATAAATAAACTAGGGATGTTAAGCGGTCCTAAGCGGTCCTAAAAGTCCCAAGAAAATTACAAAGAATTATATTTACAAGTTTATTATGAAACTTGTCTATTATAACGTTTTAATGAGCTACTAAATGAAAATATATAATAAACCCTCGTGGAATCCTAAAATTTAAAATTTAAAGACTTAGGACCGGGTCCTATATTTAGCGATCCTATCAAAATTTGCCAATTTTTGATGGGGTTACTTATTATAGATAAGTGATTAACTTCTCTAGAATTAGTAATCTCTTAAATCGTAAGGACCGGTTAAGGACTGGTTAACATCCCTAAAATAAACGGAGGGTTTACAACTGAATGATGCCTTTTGAATTTTCCGATATGAATTACACCTTTTTTAACTTTTCCGATGCGTCTTTACAAAATTTTAATTTAAATTTGGATGGTCTATGAATATTAATTTGTTGATGATTTTTTAATGGCAAATACCAATTAACCGGTCAAATTAACCGATTGATTTAACCGGTTAATTTATCCGGATAATTTAACCGGACCGGCAAATTCACTAAGGATCAATACGCCATGTTTCTCTTGTTGGCATGATACGTATTCATATGATACGAGATTCATACTCTGGTGGATGGGTTAATTTATCCGGTTAATTTAACCGATTAATTTCATTTTAATCGGTTTTATTGAATATCTCAACTGGTTAATCGTTTAACCGGTTCCAACCTCTACATTAAATGAAATTAATTTAAATCCATTTTATTGATAATAAAACCAAATATATTATGATAGTATCCTTACAAAATAGGATGTTGTTAATTTCTTATTATATTTGTTTAAATCGCAGCTTATTATCGAAGGTTCTATTTTTGATTATTTATTTATTTTATTTCATTTCATTTGTTTGTGAAAATATGCGAATTACAAAAATTTATTCGCAAAATGTGTAGTATGTGTACGGAAATGTTTGTGCGCGCATGAAAATTTTTTGTGAATTTTAAAAAATTGTGCACCCGCACATGAAACACAGTTGTAAGTATAGTATGCACTCATTTGAAAATTTAAGTAAACGATGTTTTATTTCAATTCTATTATTTACATTTAATTGAATCTTATTGATTAAATATATCATAAATATAAAATTATTACAAAAAAATAAAAAAAATAAATAAAACAATAATATTTGAGGATCGAAATGAAATTTAAAAACTTATATATATAATAATAATATTAAAGGAATGTTTCTTTATCCAGACTGTTCAAAACTTCCTTACAATATTTATTAAAAAAATCTGTAGATGGGTCGATTTCTAATGTTCTTCTATTGACCTCTACATTTTGACTCTCCGCATGTTCGTTCCCTGGTTGTGGTAACGAATTATCACGCGACGCGGGCGCATTATCTCCAGAATTTGAAGAGGTCGGCCAGATCTTTTCGTGTAAACTTTTTGCAAGATCAGATAATCTATTAAAACAATTTTTCTGATCATCGGACGCTTCTTTCCAAAGTTTACTTGAAGTAGTAGAGATATCACGAAATGCTGACGACAAAGTAGGATGTTGTGACGTTAACCTCGCCTGGTAATCCTTCCTGAAGATTACAAACGCGTTTTGTGGGCGTGGCGGAGGTTTATCGTTATTGAGTCTTACTTTCGGCTTAATCAATTCATTTAAATTAAGGAAAGTAAATCTTTGCAATTCTTCTCGTTCTTCCGGTGTGGTTTCTTCGAGGATGGTTTTTTGTATCATTCTTTCGTCATAATCATTGTTTTTAACATCCTTTGGACCGAAATCGATGACGGTACCATTTTTATTATACGGTAAACTCATTTTGAAATCGGAAAATTTGATGATTTTTTTTTAAAAAAAAAAAACGATTCAATGAAAAAAATAAAAAGTTTCGTTAAATAACCAAAATTTTGTGTAAATGTAATAGAAAAATTGGGATTGAGACATTGAACGAAAAGTTTTGATATTTATACTGTCATCATACGACTTATGGTATCATGCAATTAGATAATTTGCTCCCATCTTACAAAATTTCGAGACTACCTTTTTTAGAAATCAGAAAATGTATTTCATTAAATTTATTGAAAATAAATAAATTAATAATAGAAAAAATCAGGATCAAGATTCGTAATTATGAACCTTTGATTCCAATTGTGATGTTTCCCGCGTTGGACTTGCCCTTTGTGTTTGAGAAATTTTCTATAATAGGAACCGGATACAAAAATCTATAGGCTCTATATTTATAACACAAGAGACAAATTTCAATGATAGGCTGGTATTATTATGATAAGGGATATAAGATGAAACTTGTACTCGAAGACATTCCTCGTTAATGACAAAATTGGCAATCTATTCAATCTAAGGTAACGACAAATAGGGATTGAAATTCGGTGAATTGACTTTTTTTGACTTATATCGCGCAAAACTTTAATGCAAATTACACATGCCAAGGAACTTTATTTTTACAGGTGCTCGTAAACGCGTTCTCCTGTCACAATTTTGTAATTCGAAGTTTTTCCGACATCTGATGATAATCTCTGATAATAAATTGGTTAATAGTTTTTTTTTTTCTTCTTCCTAAGCTCCTCCTAAATTCTATGACTGTGAAATCTTTATTTTTACAATAAGGTCAAGGAAGGTCTTTCCATTCAAGAACTTTTTTCCCCTCTCAAAAATCGAATTATATTTTGAAAATACATCTACGAATCCACATAAAGTTTCTTATACAAGTGGTGGAACCATAGCAAAAAGGTTTCTCCATAGTTTGATGCTTTTACTATTAATAGAAACGTAAATCTTGTATAAAAAAGTTTTTATTTACGTTTTAATTAATTCCTTAAATGGTTATAATGGATATTTTGAAAAATGACAGGAAATTACGTAATCAAGAATTACCATATATGTAAAATAATTTACACTGCATTCAAATGACTTCTAGTTTAATGGGAAGCGAGGCCAAAGATCTGGGGGACCTCGGGTAAAAATATTATAATGAAATAAAATCAAAAGACTGGTATCATAAGATTTTACCAAAATATGAATCCTATCAATTTTCAGCACTTGTATCAACGTTAAATACTCCTAACAAAACTTTGGGTGGCACAAAACAATCAATGTTACACGCGAACTAAAATGTATTGATCACGTAAGATAAAATTTATAAAATTCACGAGTGAAAAGTTTTATTTTTTTAAAAAAAAAAATATACCCCTAAATCTTGTTAAATCACTGGAAAAAAGTATAAATCGATCGTTTGAAGTTTTGCCATTTTCAACTCCCATTTAGCAGCATTCCAATCTTCTTCATCCAATATATTAATCATGTCTTTTGTTTGATTTTTATACGTTATTACGTTAGGATCGATAACGACATTAAAACATTCTCGAATCATTTTAAGAACTTCTTGGAATGGTGTTTCTTTTAAAACACGAAGAATTCTTGATCCGCTCAAGAAGTTACATCTCATTTGCAACTAGATTGAGAATAAAAAAATTTTAATTTTGATTATACTCATTAAATCCATAAATTACGAATATAATAAAATAATACTTTGTACCTCATTTTCGTTACAAAGGTTTTGAAACGATTTGATTTGATCCTTTTCATCTCCAATGTAGACAAGAGAGTTTATATCTGAGAAACGATGATTATTTGAATTGGAATGTACCTAATTCAATCAAACGATCGTTTTAATTACTAATATTTCCCTCTTGTTAATGATTTCTAATCGCACGAACGTACCTTGTGTGTGAGGAGTTCGTTAACACCCTCCACGAAAAACTTTAAGGTGTTGATATCAACCCAATCAGCTGGAATAAAGATAAAAGAATGTGCATCTTGAAATTTACCGTTTGTAGGGTCCGCTTGCATTGAAACATGAGTTCCTCTATCGGTGCGATAATACTAATAAAAGCATATCGATTTTGTTTTTGATTGGCTTAAGACGCTAATAAAGACAATGGGAAATTATAAATAAATAAAATACGTATGATAGATATACTTACATATCTTGTAAAATTCTTTTTTAATTCTAAATGAACGTTTTGGTTTTGAGTTAAATAAAACTTAAGAACCTGATTTAAAGGAATGAGAACTTCGAACCGAGAATAATTTAAAGAGATGGATAATTCTAAAGAAATAAATTTTAAAAATAGACTTTGTTTTTGGTTTTTATTTTGACTATCAGAATATATTTTCTCGTTATTTGGTTTCATTTCAACTTTCTTAAAATCAATTTTTAGAAATTGATGGTGCCAATTTCTTCCAGTCGAACATACTACGTCTTTTTAGAAAATAAATAAATAAATAAAAGTAAATATATTGAACAAAAAAGTTGTTAAAAATAATTCAAAAAAAGTACAAAGATAGCTCTCAACGTTTTACCGTTACCGTTAGTTGTACCACCGCTCAACTTCCACTCACTAGGATCGTCTAGAAGGCTGCACATGTTTATTCAAAATTGTGCGAGAATCTAATGATAATATATACACACACTACAAAAAGGTGGAACAAAAAAAAAAAAAAAAATGAAAGGTTTTTAACGTTTTACACTGAACCAAGTTTGGTATAATTTTCATTTTCGGTTATTCCTATTACCGAGAAAATCATTTATATTTTCGATTTCACATTGTCTTCCTAATGATTAATTGCGACTTTCTGATTTATTTGGTTGGTGTGAATTCCAAAAAATTATTTGTCAAGATTTTCTGGGCTCGCTCCATCTTGCACAAAGTTTACAATTGAAGGTTTGTCCATTTGCAAACTCTGATGTGAATGTAGGTAAATCATTCTTGTTATCCTGTTTAATTTTCAGCCTGATCATAATTAATCCTGTCGGAATTAGAAAAAATATGACGGATACCGATGTCAGATGAATCTTAGATGCCGATTGCGACTTTAAAGTTGTGAGATATTTTATCTAATATAAGGGCTCCTTTTAAGGTTAAATCTCGTAGAAGAAATTTTTGGCATGTAATATTTCGGCTCGAATTATCTTAATTCTGGCCGAAACTAGGGCATACTTAACATGGACATTTATTTTTTATTAGACCAAATCAAAAAAAATAAAATAAAATAAAATAAAACATAAAAGATCAAGACCAAAATTTGATGTGAAACCAGGCTGATGGCATCATCCGTCAAGTGATAATGCTCATGTGGCGTAAGATTTTTTTAGTCGGTCTTTTTTACAAGCATAAGGTTTAATCATGTTTTGGCTAATTCACAACGTGACTGATAACTTTGACATCATTATAAATAATCGATAAAAGCATATAAAAAAAGAATGTCGATTTTCCCTTCTTTTTTTTCATTTTATCCAAAGAATTAAAAGAAAAAAAATGACTTCCTCAAACGAACAGAATTTATCTCAAGATATTACCATAAATGGATCATTAAATAATTCATCGTCATCAGCTGAATTAATAGCAGACTCACAAAAACGATCTGATCAATGTCAAGATCATGATTCGAAATTTGATGAAAGATCAAACGTTGATAAATCTTCAACTAGGACTGTTCAAGACGATGGTGACACCTCACGAATTCATTTTCATCTGAATGATTTTGGTAATAAGGTCGTTGGAACTGTCAAGGTAATTTTCTGCGTCAAAAATTTTCCGGCGATGTAATTACATTATATGATTTAGAATTAATTCGTGGATCGAATTTTTTAAAAAAAAGCATGGATTAGACACTGTCTTTGGTACGGTTATTGAACATAAAAATGATCACGAGCAAACTTCAAGACGTCCTTTAACTCTTCGATCAAGTGAATCGTCATCTCCTGAGATTGTTCGAGAACAAATTTCCGAAACAGAAGAGGTATTTATTGTATTGCATTAGTGAAAAAAAAATTTTTTTTCTTTTTCTTTTTTTTTTTTTTTGTTATTCATCAATAATCTTAAAATTCGAACCTTCATTACAAAATGCATTTTAGGAACTCCTATTTGTTTTCTCTTCAACATGATCCCAAAATTTATCATGAATAGTAACAAAGTCTATGATATCTACGTTTTTATTTTTTTTTTTAAAAAAAAAACGTCAAAGCTGTACATAATTAGTTTTATATTTTATTTTGTATTTGATAAAAAAAAAAAAGATTCATAGGGAAATAATGAACACTTTTATAATAATTAAGGATGAAAACTTATGAATACACGCATGCATCGATTTTAACAAATCATATATTTTTTGGTTAACCACACATATAAATCATTTTTTTTTTTTTATAATGGTAGAGTTATTGATGCATGAATGCTTAATAATTTATTTGAATGTAAATTTTTTTTTTTCACATTTTTTTTTAAAAAAAAATTAAATAAAATAAAAAAAAACAAATATAATACAGAATTTTTCCTAATTTACAGCAAAGAAAAAAAAAAAACTTTTTGTTGGTTTAAATCAACTAGTGAAGGAATCAGCTTGCTGACTCTTGTTGATCAAGGTAACTTTTTGGTTAATTTTTAATTTTTTTTTTTTAAATTAAAAGGTTAAATTAAAGGTTTGGGGTTATTGTACTTTTGGTAACATGATGATGAAAATCGAGACAAATCGAGATTGGTTCAACTCCTAGACCAAGGTATTCAACATTTTTCCAGATTCTTTTATAATTATCCACCGTCAAAGTATCATAAAATTTACCATCATCCCCATCATATAAATATTCTAGGATAGGTTCAAAATCTTGAGGGTAAGGTAAGGAAATGGTTATGACGTCACCATCGGTCAATTGTCGAAACGCTTCATTAAAGAAATATGATTGTAATATGAGATATTCCTTATGAACGAAAAAAGATTTCTTGTCATATCCATAAACTTGAAGTTCCGCATAAGCGGTTGACTTGTCATTATAATAATTTGGTCCCAACTGATGCAATTTATCTAGGATATAAGTTATTGGGATGCCATCAATGAACTGAAGTTGATGATGATCTTGAAAATCTATATTCTTTAATTCCGGTACAAATTGATCAAGTGTTGCTAACTGAGTGGTGGCGGTCATGATTATTTTAGTTTTTATTTTAAATGAATAATAGATAATAAAATTTTCTTTTTTTTATATATATATATGTGTTGTTGTTGTCGTTGAATTTATTGTTTTTTACGAGATGAAGATTTTTTCTTTTCCTTGTTTTTGAAAATGTTCTTTATAGAAGACAAGTTGTTTTTCTTTGAATTGTGTTGAGAAAACTTTACCAAAATCCCATCGCTTTATATTAAAAAAATTTTAAAGTTTTTAAGATTAAAAAAAAAATAAATATAATTAATAAGAACAATATTAGAAAGGGGACGAAAATCGGAGTTTGATGTGGAACAATCAGAATTTTCGTACGACAAGTAAATATTGTCTTTAAAAAGAACAATATTATTCATACATTATTAAGGACATCATATTACCATTGTTTTTTTTTTTTTTTTTAATTTCAACACGGACGTCGCCAAGGAAATTAAAGTTTCCCATGAAACACATTCGGGTAAGTAAACAAATAATAGGTTTTATTAGAAAGGAGATTGCGATGATAAAAATATAATATTCGAAATTTCCTATTCCGTGCAAATGGTCAAAAAGCATAACTTACGACATCGTTTTTACAATTAAAAAGGGGTAAAATGTACAATACATACTATAAAAGCGTAAAATGGTTAGACCGGAAATTTTTGAAGCTAGCATGGGTTTTTTAAACTGATCATTTGTATATCCCAACCCTTTATGAAATCATTTTAAAATCGGGTTATGATCATTACGTGCGCAGAATACACACCCCCCCCCCCTCCCTTAGAAGTTTACTAAGTTTTGAATTATGCAGAATTGACGATTGCACTTAAATATATTGTATTCTGAATGGTTCATTGATAGAGATCATGAAACGTAAATGTGTTTCAATTTTGGTGATCACAAATCACATGCTTGCAAACAAATAACAAGTCGAGTTATTAGTAAAATTGTTTAAAGCCCTGCGTTTAACCTAACGCTTCAACAGCTTGTATCATTTTAATATGTTTCTGCTTTCATCATTTGCAGCTTTTCAATGGTGAAGAAACTAATTGTATCATCTTGTTAATAGTTCAAGGATTATGATTTGACATATCGGGTACCGGAATGGTATACGTAAACCTTAGAGAGAGAGAGAGAGAGAGAGAGAGAGAGAGAGAGAGAAGGTGCTTCTTCTCGGGATGATTCTTCAAAGTTGAAAAAAATGTAACCGCTCATAGAGGATTTTCAATGATTCATTCATTACCCTTTAATTTAATAAAATTAATTATAACGCGCTATCTAAAATTGATATCCGATAATAATTACAGGAAAGCAACCTTATTGGAAGAGGCGTAACGAACTTTTCACGCATCCTTTCATTCTTTCACGCGTCGCAAATAAACAAATAAAAAACCTTCTCATTCACTAATTTATTTGTGCGACAAAAAATTTTACAATAAAAAGTAACTGAGGATACAAATGTTGATCTTTTTTGTTTTCGGAATAACGCACCATATGTAATTAAATAAATGCTCGACGTTTTTTTTTGCTGATGAGATCACTGTCGATGCTTTTTAATCTAATAAAAAATATATGAAACGCGTTATACCAAGTCATTCTAATTTTGCGCAAATCCTGCTATAATACAATAAATTAAGGTTTGTGTGGTCAAAACAGCAGCATTATCAGATCAGAACCAATACTTACTAATTTGACTGCTCCGTATTCCGATAGGAAATTGAAGATTACCGTTTTTATCCAAGCCGAGCCGAGGTATTATTGCCTTAACGCGATAAAAAAAAAGAAATTTTAGAGATAGAAACAAATCAGGTTAAATTATCATGCCGGTTGTATATATGTAAACTTAACTTATGATGAAAAGGGGCGTAAAACAAGAAAATCATATGATCACAAGGGTTATTTATTCTTAAAGTTCGAGCAAGATATTTATTTTCTATCGTTCCCTCTCAAATATCCGTTCAAGTTACTCAAGTTACCTGCGTATCTAAAGCACCTTGAATTTAATAACCCATCGATCTGGATGAATGCTAACGCTTGGAGACATGAGAATTGTTGATATTTATATCAATACCACTTTGCGATTCGACGAAGAAATCTTGAAACGGATTTAACAGGCGCATTTAAAATCAGGTAGATCAAAAAAGTAAAGGGTTCTAATTTGAAATTGCTTGTGTTAAAATCACGGAATTTAGGAAATTATAAATAAATATGGAAGTTCATCACTCTCTCTTTTTTTTTTTTTTTTAATGTAGTCAGTATAAATACTTTCACATGATCAAAGATGGATGGATATTTTACTATATATAATCGCCGGTTTCAATATACTTTTTTTCTTTTATTTTGGTTTAATTTTTTTTTTTTTTTTCTTTTCTTTACGAATTTTTACGAACAATCATCCTTTAAAACGGGAAACAAAAACAAAATTTACCTCATAAGAAAATTTAATCGGTCCTTTCACGTAACAATCATAATAAATCATATCATTATTTAACGTTTCTTCATAAAAATCGTCAAAACAACTACAACAAAAAAAAAAAAAAAAAATGCCAAAGTCACAATTTATTCATGAAAACGGTCGCTTGTCATCATCTCTTGTTTCCCAAAATTTAAAGGATAGGAAACCCATTTCCGTTCCCTTTCCTCCTAATGTTAATCCAATGGATTTGATAAAACCACGAAAAGACGGCAGACCTCGTAAAAGGTGTGCCAATTACTTTTTAATCTACCGTATTCAATTTGCAGAAGCTTTACGGGCGAACGGGTGTACCACTCCATTAATGACGGATATTTCTACGATGGCGGGTGACGCGTGGAAGGAGGAACCAGAATTTGTTCGTCAGTATTATAAGAATGTGGCTAATGAGGTTAAGAAATTACACGACGATTTGGTCAGGAAAGCTGCCGAGTCCAAATCATTAGAAGTTCCCAAGAACGTTATAGAAAATTCCCACGAGGTGTCTCCTTCACAAGTAAATTCGATGTCAAATTTCATGCAAATGCAACAATCTTATGTAATTCCTCACGATATAATTAATGTTCCTGGTTATGGGTATCAACAGTTAAACTTTATAAACGGGAACGCTTATTCAAATTATAATGACATGTTCTTTCAAACTTTTGATGGATCAAACTTTGGATTAGTTGAACCAGAATCAAATAATTGTTACGAATATTTTTACAAAAATTAAATTACCGTGATTTTATTTTGTTTTTGTAATCATATTAATTTAATACATTCTTTTTAATCCATTCCTTTTTTTACTTTTGATGGATCAAATTTTGGATTAGTTGAACGAGAATCAAATAATTGTTACGAATACTTTCACAAAAATCAAATTACCGTGACATTTATTTTATTTTGTTTTATAATCATATTAATTTTAATTCATTCTTTTTAATCCATTCCTTTTTGTTGGTTTTTTACTTTTGATGGATCAAAATTTTGGATTAGTTGAACCAGAATCAAATAATTGTTACGAATACCTTTACAAAAATTAAATTACCGTGACATTTATTTTATTTTGTTTTCATATTAATTTTATACATTCTTTTTAATCCATTCTTTTTTTGTTGATTTTATTTTATTTTATTTTATTTTATTTTTTTTAAATATCTATTATGAGTTTGCTTTCTAAAAAATAATTCTTAATTCTTAAAATTAGCAAGTAAATTCGCTACACTCGTTTATTGACATCCCCCCAACTGTATTAAATAAAAATAAATAAATAAATAAAATTACACGCATAACGTCGCAGATAAATAAATTTCCTTCCTATTTTTTATTTTCTTTTTTTCTTTTTTGTGAAATATTTTATCTTTGATAGTCAAACGAAACGCATGGTGTTACAATCATGTATAATCCCGACCCGAAAACTTCGGAGGTTTCTCATTTTGGATCTCCGTCAACCGATCATACGCCAAAAGAAAATTTAATTTAGAAACAATTCGTATAGCCAATATTAAGAAACTATTCCAAAAGATCTTGACTAAGACAAATTTGGTATTAATTAAAATAATATTTGGGGGAATAAATCTACTGGTATTTTTTTTTTTGTGTGAATAAACAACCTAAATCGTGAACCTTAGAATCAAATATTTAATTATTTTTTTTATTCGATCGAAGCCAATCTAAAAAATCCTAGCTTTGAATGATATAAATTTTCAAGCCTGTAGTAAAGAGGGAAAGTCGCGACAAATTGATAAATAGATTCTTGACCCCGTGGACATCGCGTAATAAATTGGATTACATACCGGGGGAGGACAAAAAGTATTGCATGATCATGAATCAGATAACTTTTTAAAGAGTAAATGAGCTATATTTTTTAATAACATAATTGTTTGATTTAGAGTAATGCAAAGTGTAAAATCTAATTTTGAAAAATCACTACTTTTCAATTCTTCGCACTTTTGTACAGTATGTTCTCGCTAAAGGATCAGCTTTTGTAAGCTATTTGTATGTTTTTACTAATTAATAAGCTTGCAAGTAACCACATAAGGTCAGTCAATGACATCTTATATAATTTATGATTTCAGAGTTGCTGGACCCAATTTTTTTTACTGTAATAATGGCCATTTTAGCCTTTTAACGAAAATAAAAATGCGCAATGTTAAAAAAAATAGTGACTATTTTAAAATTCGATTTTACGAATTGCAACATATTAAATTAAACAATTAATAAAATATGTCATTAATGCAATGTTCCTAATAAAATATCAGTTACAAATGAAAAATTTACTCAATATCTCTTGCAATACTTTTGTCCTCCCTTTACGTGTTGGGAGATAAAATTCAAAATAAAGAAAATTTGATTATGTGCGACATTATTATATAAAATTGTAATTTTTAAAGTCAAATTCTCCACACTTTTGAAATTTCAAACAATGGTTACCTTTTCAGGGTTTAAATACCTGTTCGTAATTATATTTGCAACTTTAGAAAAAAAAGGAGCCGCAGGAATGACATTTAACTTTCAAATCGAAAAACTCGAGAGATTTATCACCAACACAACATACAAGATTTGGAATATGCATATGTGCTACTCACCTGATAGAATTTAACAAACAAAAAAGCGGAAGGTTTCGAGATTTCTTTATGATTTGTTCGCCGCTTTTAAGCTGCTTTTTTTTTTTTTTTTACATTTTATAATAATTTCCTTTCTAAGAATATCATAATAAATCATTCGACGTAGAACAAAGTTAATTTTTCCATCCTAAGAAAGACAGCAGCAGGACTTGTTGTTCTAATGTTCTAAGGCTATGAACTATTTTGGTATACGGTTTCTATTTGAAGCAAATAAAAAAATACTCGTCATTTAAATCAGTTACCTTGTTCTTGATTGTAGGAAGATAAAGAATGTATCACAAAAACATTGTTTTGTCTAGTTCATTTATGTGTTGCAAATAAAAAAAAATAATTATCTTTTTTTTGATACGGTAGAGCATAACGCGTTCTCTAATAAATAATTAATTTACCGAAAAAAGAATCAAATTTAATATCGCTATGAATTAATACACCAAATCTTATGAGCCATAACAAGACATTTAATCAATATTTATTTTATTTTTATTTTATTTTTTTTTTTTTTTGAATACGAATTCAGAAAAGGTTTACGATAAAACCATTATTGTTCAAAAAATCCTTGTCACTTGTGATAGACAAAAAATAAATTAATCCTTTCTTCTACACTTTTTAACATTGATAATTCAAAGGAATGTTAAACAACGATTTTAAATTTAATGATGATCCTGTACGTTAAGGATTAGTACAAAAAAGAAACGGAACGAAACCGCCGCGCTAAACTTCAAGGGAAACATTTACCTTCTCGAAGATTAATACTTTTAATTACTAATTCAATAAACGAATGTTCAAAAACTTTTGGATTAATAATAACAAATAATAATTAAAATAAAAAATAGAAATGTATTTAATATGGTGTGGCTGGTTGTTCAAACATCAGCCTTTTCCAAATTAGGCACCCAGCTATTTATTCATTCTCGTGTGCGACACAACATTCTGAAGATCATCTTCCCTTGGCAATATAAAAATACTCTACATTTTCATTAAAACAAGTAAATAAATATCATAAAATACGTTGATAACAAAAAAGAAACCCATTTATTCTCTAAAATCATTTTCTTTTTATTTTTTATTTCAACAATGACAAAAATAAATTCTCATAAAATCTTGAAGCGTAAACTTTTGCAAAGCATAGATTCTCAGCGGATTCCCTCAACATCATTAAAGCAACAACAAAAAACGCGCAACATAATAAGCCCTCCACCGAATTTGACTTTGCCATTTCCACCTCACATTGTTCCAGAAAACTTAATCAATAAAAAGTCGTGCAAACTTCCTTCTAAACCACCAAATGCTTTCTTCATCTATCGTAAAGTTTATACTAACGAATTGGTTGCTCAAAACATGCGATTTAAAATGACCGACGTTTCTTCATGGGTCTCAATTTCTTGGAAACTTGAACCTGAGGAGGTCAGGACAAAGTATAAAGAAATTGCAAGGGAGGTTCGAAAAATCTATAAGCAAACAAAACTCGATGCAAATGATGAATCAAACCCCTCATCGGTTAATGTTAATGATTCGTCAGATTCATGCGCAACTCAACCTTCTTCAACATCTTTACCAATTCATCCGCTTAATAAAGATCACTTGAATTCCGATCCAGAATTAATTCCTGGATATTTCGTTTGCGATCCATCAAATAATACGGAATTACAAAACCCTGTTGTCGATAATGATTTTTACTATTGTAACAACGATTCATCGTTAAATTCTTCTTCTACGATTAACGATCCTACTTTGTCTGGATCATGGCAGTACGAATATTATAATTTACCCCCAACGATTTTTGAAAATATAAGCGCTGAGTTATCATATTCTGAAAATATGGAATTACCAAATAACGTTACTACTCAATTTGAAGCGGAACCTTGGGTATTTGAAAACTTTGATGTTTTATATGAAAATACTAATACGTTTGAAATGGGTCATCAATCCTAAGGAAAAACAAAAAAACAAAAACAGCACAACATAAATATTATGAAATTCAATTATATAAGCAACTTTGTAATTTTTATTATCTAGGAATACTCTTTTTTTTTTTTTTTTTAAAAAAAAAAAAAGCAGTCTATACATTTGTAAAATAAAAAATTTTTTATTTTTTGAATTAATGAGCTCATTAAAGTACTTTTTTGGTCAGTATAATGAACAAAGGACATTTCGGCAGAAATCGGAAGTTAGGATCATATAACTTATGTCTTGGAAGGTGACATATATAATGTGAAGTTAAATGTTCCAATTTAATTTCAAAATTGATTTTGTTGTGGCTTATCGATTTCACGCGTTAAAAACCAAGAAATGTTTCGACATTGAAATTTTTAGAGTAGAAATATGGGATTTTTAATGGGTTTCGAATTCACAAAAGTTTTCCAGGTCAACACATACACAAAATGGCAAAATGTATCATCCGACTACTGGAAATTTGGTCACTGGTAAATATTGCATACAACTTATGCGCTTGTTTCATAGCATTCAGAGATTTATTTTTAAATGAAACTTCATTTTATTTCACTAGCCACATTCGAGTACATTTCGTTAAAGTAAACAAAGCTGCACGAAGGATGAGCAATTCATTTTATATAAATTGCCTAGAAAGGCTTATTCGATGCACAAGCCACATCATCCACAGCTTGCAGTACGTTATTATTAGAAAAGCATCCGCAAAAGTTTCAAAATATAGAAATTTATTGTCTTATTTATTCATCATTCATTTACGGAAGATGAAAAAGATGCAGAGTAATATACCATTCACCAGAAAGGAATTCCTTTTACGGATTTACGGACTGTTGTTGTTAATCTCACTTCGCGAACCTTATTTCTAATGTTCCATTCTGCAAATAACGCTCAAATGGCATCACATAATGGCTTAAAAGAACAAATAAAAAAAGGAAGTCTATGAATTTTCTCATACACAAACGTAAAAAAGTTGCACATGACCAAAGGTTCCACCATTTATATAAATAATTCGCGCAATTTTACATTAAGGCTACCATTGACAAATTCTTCTTCTCGTGATATCATATATAGTAAAGGCTCTTTTCTTTTCTTTCCATTTTTGAACTTAATGGAAGTTTCAATAAAAAAATCATATTGTAAAACGCATAATTTCAATTTTGTTTTATGTGTTTATGCGTAATAAGGTGTATAAATTTCTAAATGGAACAATGCTAAGTCCTAATTGATTAAAAGGATGTCAACAAATAATTATAAGATTTTACATTATTGAAAACGGATTAAATGGATCCGAAGATTCGATTCGCTTAAAGTAATAAACCCATAAAATTTATTTATTTACGTTATTGTAATTTCTCCTTGTGATCTAACTTGAAACCGAACGATACGTTTCCGATGAGAATCCGTGTGATTTATAATTTATCAATCAGTTATCAATTTTTTTTTCTGCAGTATTGGTACAAAGAACAACGAAACTGTCTTGTCGCGCAAAAATTTTAAATGGAAAAGTTTTATTATCATTTAGGCAATGAATATAACTATATTGATGGCACACTATAGTATTTTAATAATTAATTAGAATTACTGACGCGTAGATAACGATAATCGATCGCTTTATAACGAATCATACGTCTAATATAATGTCCTAATCTGTGATCACAATCATAATTACTTATTATAAAAAAAAAATGATTTAATAATAATAATGCACTTATTAAAATAAGGCTTTTTTGTCGTAAATCCTCCTCGTAAATGCTATATTATATCAATCCGTTAATATAATATTAATATTAATTACGTCATGCCTTCCTTCTTTTATCACGTGATGCAAGTTACTAGTTGAAAATTTATCTTGCGCAATTTTTCTTGGAACTTTTAAGAAAAATTATAGATTATCATTATTATAATTATTATTATAATATATATTATACATACACATTTGATTAAGCTAATGACTTTGTCTAAAAATATCATTATAATGTATTTGTTAAGGTAATACAAAATCATTTTTGCCAATGTTATCGCATACCATTAAAACCATAACAATGCTGTTCCGTTTACCACTATTGAGTAATGGAAAAGTTCTTTGTATAATACCAATCGTGTGATCACGAGCCAATCCAAATTTCGAAATAGTGATTTATTGAATATCAAACAAAACAAACGGAAATTCCATCATAAAATAACTTGTTTCGTTAGATATTCCTTCCTATCAATCAATTAGCTAATGGACTTCTTTGCAACTTCAAAATAATCTTAATACACAAAAGTTTTGTCCTTTTCTCTTCAATACAAATGTATATGTAAAAAAATAAAAATAAAAATAAAGAAAATATAAAAAAAAAAATAAAACTAAAGCTTATCTAATCGAAAAATTTAAAAATATCAGAAAAACCAAAAAAAAAAAACGAAAAAAATATTCAATTTCGAATATTCGAAATAATTTGATATCCCAAATTGATTTTTGATATTTGAAATCAATTTGATATCTAAAATGATTTTTATTATTTGAAATATCTTAATAATTTATAAAACAGTACTTATATTAAATTATTTTAAAGATAATAATAATTAAAAATTTTAAGTTATATATTATTATATAAATTAATATTTAAATTATATTATAAAAAATTATTTTAAGTAATATATATTATCATTCTAATAGTAAATTAATATATTTATTTTTAATATAATTAATAAATTTTACTAAATAACTATTTAATTAAATTATTACCTAAATATTAAAGATTATTAAAATTTTATTTAAAAACCTTATATAAGAAGTTTGCTAAGAAAATCAGACTCTGAAAATATTTTGAGTCTTATTATATTTTAATCTAATAACATTAAAAACTATAATATAATAAAAATCAGAATTTTATTAAAAAATTTTCAAAGTCTGATTTTTCTAGCAAACTTTTTATATAATAAAATGTTTAAATATTTTAATAAAACTTTATATAAATAAATTTAAAATAATATATATAATTTATTTTATATAATAAAATTCAATTAAAATTTTAAAATTTAAATTAATTATTTTATGATATTAAATTAAAAATTAAAATATAATTATTTAAAAATAATAAAAAATCTGAAAATTAATTAATTATTAAATTATTTTTAAAATAAATCTATCTACAGTAATAGTCATAAGTATCTGACTCTTCATAATTCTTAAAGTTAATTAATAATATCATTTAAATTTTTTTTAAATTTAAGTTCAATACTAACCTTGATAATCTGTAAAATTATAGATTTATATCATGTATAATTTAGAGTTAGATGATCAGTAAATTTATATTTTTAAAAAAAATCTTTTTTTATGTAAATAATTTCATTTTTATTATTTAACGCCTAAACTCCTTAAATATATAGATTATTTTTTTAATATATTAATTTTTTAGGAGTTATTACACATTTTTTATAGAATTTTAGACAGATTACACAGATATTTAGAAAACTTCAATAATACTGTATTCTTTCTTTTAATTTTTGAATAATGTTTGTATTTATTAACTTTTTGTCAAATTTACTCTAAGTTCTCTTTTCTAAAAAATTTACAGATATAAACCAAAAAGTTATTTTTATAAAATTTATATGTAAAATAATATTAAAGTTTTGCTGAAAGAAAATTAATTTATCAAATTGCAAATCTAAAAAATCACTATAATATAGACTTTTAACAAATATTATAACTTTTATTTATTACTAAAATCTTTATTTAAATAATATCTTTAAATATAATAAATGTTATAATTTTATTATTATAGATATAAAGTAACTATATTTTTGAAATTCCATTTTAATCATTATTGAAATTTATATAAAAAAATCTATTTAGTTTAATTTACTAAAAAATATCAGTATTTTACATGCAAAATTCATCAATCATCTAATTTTTGATTTATATATTATACAAGCTTATAATTTTACATGTGATCATCATTGATATTGTATTTGAATTTTGAAAAATTTTAATGGGTATAATTAATTAACTTTAAGAATTATGAGAAATTAGATACTTATGATCGCTACTGTATTATTATAATAAATATATTTATTATAATATCTGTATTAATTAATCAATTATATATATAACCTTTAACTTTAATAGTATTTGTATAAATAAATTTATTTTATTTTAGATTATCTTCTAAAAATGACTTTTACCTTAATATTAAATCTATAATTAATAAATTAAATAATTTATCTGATATTTTTAATATAATTTATATAATCAATATACAATAATAGATATATATAATATTTAATATATTAAATAAATTAAATATATAAAATATTTATTGTTTTTTAAATTATTGAGCAAATAATTTTGGCTGTAAATATAAAAAAAATATTAATTTTCTTAATAAAATATAAAATAATAATTTAGTAATATAATTATTATATAAATAATTATAGTTAATATATATTTATTAATTTTATTAAAAAATATTTTAAGTTTATTAAAAAGATTTTTAAATAATTCAATTTAAAATAAGCTTTAAAAAATAATTTTTTAAAAATTCATATAATTATGACTGTTTTATTACTATTAAAATTATAAAATTTATAAAATTTGTAATAATAATATTATTTATTTTATATTATTATAATATAATTAATATTATTAAGAATAAATTTTAATAAAATTATTAAAAGTTATTAATAAATTTTTTAACAAATTTTTAGTTTATAAATAACTTTAAATTTTTATGATATATAGTAATTAAAAATAAAAGTTATTATAATATAATAAATATTTATAAGTTTAATTATATCTAAAGAATAAATTTAATTATAATAATATATTATACATTTTATTTGTAATAATCTTAATTTTATCCAATTAAAATTTAAAATCAGATATAATATAAATAATTTAGCAAAAAAATTTTTTTTAAAAATTTTCAAAAAATTATTTATAACTGAAAATTTTATCTATAAAATCTTTTATATATTAAATAAAAGTTTTTCAAATTAAA